AGGCTCGGTCCCAAACCCTAGGCTGCCCTGCGGCAGGCAGCTGCACAGGATGTGCCCGGGTGTCACGGTGTCACAGGCAGGTGGCTCTCTCAGCCCTGCAATTGGCCGTCCCTGCTCAAAACAGGAACAGTGGGGACAGCACCGCCCAGGACAGTGACGCACAGACCCTGAACAGAAACTCACACCTGCGGCCCGGCCAGCACCTCAGCCTCCGGGCCCCCAGGTATGTGTCCCCAGGATGTGTCCCCAGGAGCCCCGGCCCGGCCACCAGAGACAGGCAGGGCTGTTGGGCTTGTGGGGGCACAGCCTGCACCGCACACGAGAGGCCGGGGCTGTGCGGCTCTGAGAGGGTTCGAAATCTTAAAAACAGCTCTGCAGGGCCAGGGCACCAAGGTGGGCAGAGGCAAGACAGTGACTGGCAGGGGCAGGGAATCAGGCCGGGTGACTACTAGTTACCCACCACTAACTAGCGACCTATTGCTAGTTACCTGTTACTAGTTATCGGTACTAGTTACCCACCACTAGTTACTACTAGTTATCCATCTAGTTAGCCACTGCTCGTTCCCCGTTACTATTTACCCATTGCTGGCTGTGTACCCTCCTACCTTCCTCTGAGTCCAGCCAAGCCCAGGAATCCAGGAACAGGGTGGGACCCCAGCCTGGGCCCCTGTCCCAACAAGCCCCCTTCTGGTGGGGACAGCAGAGAAAGACAAGCATTTCCATGGGGTCACAGCTGGGCCAGAGGGAGCAACCCTGGGGACAGTGAGGGATGGGGGCGTGCCGGGGCTTTGTCTAGGGAGAGGCAGGGAGGCTACCTGGAGGAAGGGGGCATATGTACTGGGTTTTGAAGGATCTGTAGGAGTTTTCTAAGGTGGGAAAAAGAATAAGCTTAGAAACAAGCCAAGCCAGTCGTGACTAGGATTCCTATAAACTGAACAGTCAAACATGGATAGAGAAAAGTGTGTCACTGAGTGCCAGGTATACGGTCTGAGAAAAGTCACCAGGCGACTCTGTCACCATGTCAGTGTGGTAGTGGGCATTTGCACACACTGAGGTGTGCCGGCCAGCTCTAAGTTGCAGTTGCTGCGAGGCTCCGGACCTGCCCAGTGTGTCGCTGCCTTAGGCCCTGTGCTGTCACTCTGCAGTAAGCGCTGGCCCTGGGTCTATCCCCAGCACCCACTGCCAAACAATGGAAACAGACCCTTCCGGGTGACGTGACTGTGCCCAAACCACAGCCGGACTCCAGGCATCAGGCCAGGTCCTGGGCCGGGGTGGTGGGGACAGTGCCTGGTGGTGTCGGGGGGTAGGTCCTGCTGGCCCCGGAGACCCCGTGTGAAGCTCTGGGAGAAAGTGGCTGGGTGGGGCCGGGCACAGCCCCTGTGGGAACAGAGCCAAGGGTGGCACTGGGCCCTCCAGGCACCGTCTTGTGGTCGGGTTGGCACCACCTCAGCACTGCTCGCCGTTAGGGTGGTTTCTTGTCCCCAGCTCCCCACCACTGGTCACACTGCCCAGCCTCAGCTGGAGCTGAAAGCTGTCCTGGAGGAAGCTGAGCCAGTGGCCACGCCCGTCATTCCAGCACTCTGGGAGGCTGAGGCAGGAGGATGCAAGCTGCAGTCCAGCCCGGGTAACTTGGTCCCTTAATGAGGCCCCTGTCTCAGAACATAAACTAAAAGAGCTGGGGTGCAGCTCAGTGCTGCACAGAAGAGGAAGTGTGGCCTCGGGGCCACGCCTCACTGTCCCTCCCGCCTCCCCAGGTGCCCTCGCTCCCTGGAACCCATGGCAGGGGCTGAGAGGCTGCCCCCGCCACTGCCCCCTCGCCTGCACTGGTTCGTGCACACTCAGATGGCCCAGCTGGCCCAGGGTGGCGTCCCGGAGTGGTTCCATGGCGCCATCTCCCGAGGGTGAGGAGCCCCCAGCCGTGCTCTGGCTCGGTGCCACCGACCTGACTTCCTCTCTGTGGGCCGCTGTGCAGCCTTGCGCGAGCTACTTCCCCTCCTCCCTGGGCTCTTTCTCTCTCTCTCTTTTTTTTTTTTTTTTTTTTCTTGCATTCTGGAACCCAGGGCCTCACACATGCTGGGCAAGCAGTTACCACTGAACTGCACCTGGCCCTTTGTATTTTTTGAGACTGAGTCTTACTAAGCTGTCCAGGCTGGCACTGAATTTGCAGTCCTCCTGCCTCAGCCTCCGGAACAACTGGGACTGCACGTGTGCATCCCCATGCCCAGCTGGACCATTCTGTACCATCTTCTGCATGCAGGGCATTGAGAGAACGCTGTGCGGGCCAGAAAGAGGGACACCGGGCACAGTGTCCATGCTCAGGCTTGTGGTATGCTATAGAACTAGGACACGAGCCACATGTTGAGATTTTAAATATCCCGATTGCTACACTAAAGAATGAGGCCCAGACATGGTGGTGTGCACCTCCGTGGGAGGCTGAGGCAGGAGGATCCCAAGTTCATGCCCAGCCTGAGACAAGTGATGACTTAGTGAGACTCTGTCTCCGAAAATAGGACTGAAAGGGCCAGGGATGTAGCTCAGTGGTGCTGCCACCTGCCTTGAAAGCCCAAGGTCCCGAGTTCAATCCGTGGTACCAAAAAAAAAAAAAAAAAAAAAAAAAAAAAAAAGAAAAGAAAAAATAGGGCTGGGCTTGTGGCTCAGTGTGAAGGCCCTGGCTTCCACCCCAGCACCACCCCCAAAAGAAAGAAATAACTGGCAGCATTTGGGGAGCACCTGGAGGTGGCAGCCAGCCGGGAAAGCCATGGCCTGCCCTAGAAGAGTCTGAGGACCAGAGAGGGACAGACACCAGCCTGCAGCCAACAGCAAAGGAACCGCGGGTGGGGTCTGGACCCCAAGGCGTGCAAGTACGCTGCCTACAGGGAGGGACTGTGCTTCCCTGAACATCCCAAGGTCTCCCAGCCAAGAAAACTGGCTTTAGAGTGTGGTCTGCTTAGACTCAGAAAGCGCGGCCTCCGGGCTGTGGTTCCGGGCTCTCTGGGGACTGGCCTGGGGCAGTGGGGCCGTGGCCATCTGCTCCCCGCCTGCCTTTCCAGGGACGCCGAGGACTTGCTGGAGTCGCAGCCCCCGGGACGCTTCCTCGTGCGGGTCAGCCACAGCCACGTGGGCTACACGCTGTCCTACAGGTGGGGCTGGGCCGGCGGGGTACCAGGGCGCTTGGGGCCAGGCTGCGGCGGCCGGGCTCCACCGATCCAGGTGGCGGACGTGAGGCCCTCAGCAGACTCCTGCTGTCAAGCCGAGCCTCTGTGGAGCACCCGCCGGACACGCAGCACACAGCCTAGGCTGGGCCCCAGAAAATCTTCCCAACCTTCCTCCACCCCACCTCTGGTGCTCATCTCCCGGAGCCAGGCTGAGCCCATCGCCCTCCGAGGACAGCTCTAGTGGGGAAACCGAGGCAGCGAGGCCCTGGGCGGTGGGAAGGAAGGCAGGAGGGCGCACACTGCCCTTCTGTGTCGCAGGAAAAGGTGCTGCTCGGGGACGACACGACCCACGCCTCGCTGTGCGCCCTGGTGGCCTTCTACCAGCGCAGGCCACTGCGGCCATACGGGCAGCTGCTCACGCAGGGCTGCGGGCAGGTGAGCTGGGTCCACAGGCTCTGACCCACCCTCACCCGGGAGGCTCTATCGGGGGCAGCCGTCACCGCACAACTCAGGTGGGCGCCCTCTGGCTGAGCTGCGGGGCCGGGAGCTTCCTTATAAAGACAGTGGGCGTGGCCTGTGGGCGGGCCGACTTCCCCATAAGGTGGGTGGGCGTGGCCTTGGCCCTGTGACGTTTGGCTGGGGCGGGCTCCCTAATAAGGTGGATGGGCGGGGCCTGGGGCCACAGTTGCCGCGTTGAGCGGGAGGTGCTGTGACTTCAGTGCTGCCCCAGGACCTGAACTGTGTCTCCATGCAGAAGGACCCGGCCAACCTGGACTACGAGGACCTCCTGCTCTGCACCCTGGCCCAGGAGACCGCCAGCCCAGAGTCCAGGCCTGAAGAGCATGAGGGGCCCTGCTGGAGCCCTAAGGTACAGGGGGCTGGCACCTCCGTGTGGCTAGCGAGTGCAGGGTTGACCCGGCCAACAGAGGAGCTCCTTCCTAAAGGAGAGTTAGGACCCAGTGTTGGGGAATGAAAGCCTTCAGTGACATCTGACTCCAGGCCATCACCAAACTGCACTCAGCCCCTCCCTTGCCTATGTCTGTCCTGTCTGTCCTGCCTGCTGTAGTTTGGGTCGGCAGCAATCTCAGGACCTTTGCATATGCTATGTCTCTGCCCCCAAGTTCCCTCACCCAGCTTCTGCTTCTAGTTGACCTTCAAGTGTCCCTTCTGCAATGCCTGGACTAAAACAGCCCCACGCCTGCCCTGTTTACCCCTGCAGGCAGCTCCTGGCAGATGGAAGGCTCTTGCTTTCCCATAAGTCTCTGTGTTTCCTGTTTGTTTGCCCATCAAACAGAATTCTGCCCCAGCCTAGGCAATTTGGCAACTCAGCAACTTAGCGAGACCCTGTCTCAAAATAGAAAATGAAACAACGCAGGGGATGCAACTTACTGAGAAGGCTGTGGGTCCCAGCCCCAGGGCTGCAATTAATTACTTAGAATTAAAACTAGCACATAGAATTATGTGCAGCGTATGACACTTGATGGCCACAATGAGCCACTGCCACCAGGCCACATGGTTCTGTGGACCATATTCTGCTGTGGGACCGCCCTGCTCGGCTGACATCTGGGACCCCGTGTGTTCCGTGCTTTTCTCCCACTCTTGCTGTAATCCCACGTGTTGGCGGCGCCCCCTGAGGTCACACGGTCACCTCATGATGCAATTCTCGCTGCATTGCAGGGCTGTATCAGCTCTGGGGCGTCTGCTTTGGGTTTCCGGCTTTGGTCGGGCTGGGACGGACCAGGGCGGCGTCCAGCCACCGCGCCGGGCGAGGCTGACCTGGGGAGACGCTGCCACAGTGCAGGAGGCGACAGACTGAGCAGGGGACAGCTGTGAGGCGGCCGGAGGGGCCTGGCCTGAGGGATGGGCAGACTCGGCCAAGGGGCGCCTGGCCCAGGTCACCCGTGCCTCCGTTTCAGGGTCCTCCAAAGCCCATCCTGCTCCAGCAGCTGAAGGAAAAGGAGGTATCTGCAGAGGAAGTCAGCTCCTCCTGCTCCCCGAAGGTGCCCTTGGCGGGGGCTGGCCAAAAACTCTGGAAGAACCTCAGGGCGCTGCCCGAGATGGGCCGGAGGGTCCAGCAGCAGCTCAAAGGCCGCCTCGCAGCTGCGAGCCTGGCATCGCTCTGGGATGCCCAGCCATTGGTGACCACGCACAGCTCCGGGGCCAGGGGCCCTGGCCTGGCCACATCCCTGGAAAAGCCCCCACAGTGCCCGGTCCCGAGGGACAGGGGCACCGCCTCCAGGAAGGCCACCAGATCTAGCAGCTGGAATGGGGCGACCCCCAGGGACCGGGGCTGGCGCCAGAAGGTCACGAGGGCCCTGTCCTTCCAGCCCCCCGAGGCGAAGCCCAGGGACCAGCTCCCTGAGGAGTACCTGCAGCCGCCACCCTTTGCCCCTGGGTACTGCTAGGGGCTCACCCAGCCAGGACCCAGGGGTGGGGCCGCCCACCATCAGCGTCACACGACGGGGGCTGCTCCAGCCCAGCCCGGCCCAGCCAGACCTTCCTTCTAGGCCGCGATTGCCCTTGGTACCCACAGTTCTTAGGTTCCACCTCCCTGCACAGAAAACGGCCTCTTCCAAACCGTGCACAGGCTGGGCCTAGTGGACTGCGCCTACCGTCCTTGTGCTCCAGACAGGAGAATCTCCCAGGGTTCGAGGCCAGCCTCAACTACACAGCCAGACCCTGCCTCAGAAAACCAAAGAATAAAACTAAAACGTGTCCATATGTAGAAGTGTGCAGACTCAGCTTGTCAGGGTCCCAGCCAAGACCGTGCAGCCGCTGGCACAGCGGGGACTTCAGGCGTGGAGGCGGCGTGTGGGGCCCATGTACGGGGTGAGTGTGATGCTCCCTGGGCCCGACCCTGCGGATGTCGGGGGCGACTTCTGCTGCCCTGAGCAAACCCACCAGGGCTCATCCTCCGGGAGCCCAAGCTGAGGCTGAAGCTGGGGAAAGCGTGGCCACAGCACAGGACCATGGTGGCCTCTCAGACTCAGAGCCAGCACCGCGGCCCTTTGGCAAAGGGTCCGAGCTCTGTGCAAATTGTATCGCAGGGCCTGGGCTGACAGGGCCCCTCCTCAGGAAGCTGCGGTCTGTAGACAGAAATGGCTCAGTGCTCAGCAGTGACTTCTTCAAGGGACTCGAGAAGGCCCCTTCCCTTTACAAAGGAGCAGTTAACCTAGCGCATCCTAGCACTCAGGAGGCTGAGGCAGGAAGATCACTGTGAGCTGGAGGACAGCGTAGGCTATGCAGGGAGACCCTTTCTCAAAAAGGCAGGGCTGGGTATTGAGCTCAGTGTGGAAGCCTTCAGTTCAATGCCAAGTAATAGAGAAAGAAAAAAAAAAAAAAAAAGAGGGGACCCCGGGGCAGTGCTGTGTGGCCTTTTGCAAGTCCAGACCTCTCTGGGCCTCTGCCTCACCCGCACAATGGGACAACGGCAGACCGCCCCCCTCCTCGGGAGGACCTGGAGACAAACCCTGGGTTCACAGAGGAGGGGGTGTGCACAGCCGGAAGTGGCCGGCCTCTGAATGCCATTCCTGGAGCCTCCCCAGGACGGGTCATCTCTGCCCCCTGAGGGACTGGGGCCGGGAAAGGAAGAGACCCGGGAAGCTGGCTGCAACTCAGCCCGGACCCTGTCGCTGCCACCCGAGCCCCACAGGAGCCCTGAACGTGTCCCAGAGCGGGCCCAGCCACCCCCAGGGTCACACAGTGGGACACAGGGGGCTCCCAGCCTCTAGATTCCAGACAGAAACGAAAAGAGGGTGGACAGAGTCTTTATTCCCAGTTCCCCGCCTCAGGCCGCTCCAGGGGGCGCCCTCCTCAGATGCGGATGTGGAAGGTGCTGAAAAGAGAAGGAGGTCAGTGCCGACAGCCGCCATCCACACCAGTGCTGCAGCACCCACTGCGCTTGTGGGCACGGGAATTCGACTGCATAGCACCATCACCGGTCACGGAAGCCGCTTTGTTTTTGTTTTGCTTTGTTTGGAATTGGGATTGAACCCAGGGCCTTTGCACTGAGCTACATCCCAAGCCTGTTTGTTTTGTTTTGTATGAGTCAGGGTCTCACTAGTTGCCTAGGCTGGGCTCAAATTTTTGATCCTCCTGCCTCAGCCTCCCAGACTCCTGGGATGACAAATGTCTGCCGCTACATTTGACTGGAATCTTTTTTTTTTTTTTTTTTTTGGATCCATTTGCCTGGAATCTTTTTTTTTTTTTTTTTTTTCTGGTACCAGGAATCAAACTCAGGACCTTGCGCTTGTGAGGCAGGCAGCAGAACCACTGAACTAAATCCATGGCCCTGGAATATTGTTCTTATTCTCAACCATGTGGAAATATAAAAACCAATCTTGGCTAAAGTCCAGAAACAGGATAGATGTGGCCCGTGGCTCATCTTTTGCCACCCATGTGTTAGCTCACTTAATTCTCCACCTCAGCCCCGTAGCTGGGGCTCTCATTCAGCCCCAGACTGCCAAGTACAGTTGTACAGGGTGCTCACTGCGAAACTGTCCAGGCAGGAAGAACTAAAGTCCAGCTATGCTGCTTGTGACCGAAGTGCCACATTCACCCACAAGAGCTGCCTCTGTGTCTCCTACTTATCCCCATTGTTCAGATCCAGGAACTGGGACCAGGAAAGTGTGACAGTCTGCCAAGGTTACACATGAATCAGCACAGGACTTTCTGTAACAGAGTCCGGGAACCGGCTCCATCAGGGCAGGGGCGGGGTGTCACCTGAGGAAGTCGGGGGCCCGCAGGATCATGTTCTGGAAGTCCTCCAGGGACAGCCGCCCGTCGTGGTCGCCGTCCGCCTCGTCCAGCACCTTCTCACACACCAGACTCACCTCCTCGGCACTCAGCTCGCCCCGCGTCAGCCTGGTTACCGTCTGCTGCAGGTCCTCAGCACAAATGTAGTCATCATCGTTGAAGTCTGGGGGCACACGGGTGGGGGCGGCAGGTGGCCACTGGGCCGGGCACCCGCCGGCACATCTTGGTGCCTTGTGACAGGACGAAACTGAGGCACTGGGGAGTGCCCAAGACCACTGGGTGGATTCTGGGTCTTGCTTTGGAGTTGGGCAGGAACCAGCTGGGAACTCATCCATCCAGGCGATTTATTGAGAATGTATTATGTGATTGGTAGGTATCATGGTAACTTTCACTTGTTTACTAACAAAGTATTTCTTTTCCCCCTGGTACTGGAGATTGAATTCAAGGCCTTCCTACTGAACTACATTCCCAGCCCTTTTTAATTTTTTTTTACTTTGAAACAGGGACTTGCCAAGCCACTAAATTGCCAAGGCTGGGCTGGAACTTGGGATCATCTTGCCTCAGCCTCTCAGAGTGCCAGGATTATAGGCATGTGCCTGGGTCAAGTATTTCCTGAGTGCCTACTGTGTGCCAGGCAGAGATAGCTCTTCCTTCATGCCCTAAATCCGCATCACACACAAGTTTGTCTTCCCTCACTCCTGCATATTTACTGCAGGCCCAGGAGGCACCAGAAGCGAGTTTTCTTCTGCTCGTGTAGTCATTCAGCGACTATGAGCTGAACACCTACTGCGTGTCAGGCACGAGAGACAGAGGGTGAACAAAACAGATACTGTCACCACCCTTGGTCTCCCTGAGACAAAGTGAGGCTGAACAGACTGGTGCTGGGGGGCTCGGCTGAGGGGTGAGGGCTTGCCTGCCCTGAACCTGGGTTCCATCCTCATCACCCCAAAACAAGACAAACAACAAAACTAAGGACACAACTACAACAGTAGCGAGAAGATCAGGGACCAAGAGGTGGCGCCAGGGGAGAAGTGAGACACAGGCAGGAAGTGGCCTCGCTGTTTCCCCATTACTTCCGGGGTCAGAGGCCAACGGACAGGCGGGTGGGGCACAGCTGCGTGAGGCTGGAGACCCAGGAGCCCTCTGTGCTTGCCCGTGCCCGGCTTCTGCACGCACCATAAATTTTGAAAGCGTAGTAGGCCTTGAGGTCACGCGGGGCCATCTCGCTCATCACGGAAAACATGTCCAGGAAGTTGTCCAGCGTCATGTGGCCATCGCCGTCCTCAGAGAAGACGTGGGCGATGCGTTGGCGGAAAGGGTTTTCCTGGAACAAGAAAGGCACAGGGAGGGACTCCAGGGTCCGACTGGGATCAACCACCCGCCTGCCCTCCTAGGACCTCGGTACCCTCTGCCAAGACTGGACTTCCGGAGACGCCACGTCCCTCCCATGTGACTTCCGGAGACCCCAGCTGCAACACTATGGTGGCCTGACATCACTTCCGGTCCACAACACCACATGCTCCTGGAGAAGCCAATCAGAGCGTTCCATTCATCTGCCAATGATGACTGGCTCTGGACTAGGCATGCCATTCCATTTGGCCAATCAGAGGCTACATGAGACTGGCACTAGAAGCTGAGAGTTTTTCTGAGCACTGGTGAGACATCCTGATTAGAGCCAAACCTGGCGTTAACCCTGCTCCTCGATTTATTTTTCAGTACAAGGGATTGAACTCAGAGAATTTGCATTGAGTTACATCCCTGGTTCTTTATTTGAGATAGGGTTTAGCTAAGTTGATAAATTTCCCAGGCTGGGTTTGAATTCACAGTCCCCCTGCCTCAGCCTTCCAGAGTGAAGTTAAGAGTTATGCCACACCACATGCAGTTTGAAATAGTTGTTTTGCAGATGACCCAACCCCAAAAAACTAACTTTCCCTCAATACTTACTAAGCCCTTTTACCTGTGTGGTTTCACCGATCCCTTCAGGACCCTGGCTTTGACCCTGTCTCCTGTTTTGTGGCTGTGTGAGTTGAACAAGGGTGCTAACTTCTCTGACTTCCACTTTCTCATCTTTGTGAATGGGGTCATGGTGGGCTGCAGCCACAGTGCAGCATGCTGTGAGGGGCCCCTCACCATATCCCCTGGTCCCGGCTGCACCTTTAGCTCTGGCATGCTGCCAATGAGTTCGTAGGGCACCTTCACTGCTGGGCAGCCAGTGTAGTCCAGGGGCACAAGCTGGGGCGCCAGGTCCTGGTAGCGGTAGAAGAGCCTGGTGGGGAGGGGATGTCAGGGAGGTTGGAGCCAAGAGTGGAAGGGGTTTGTCCCATCTCACTCACATGGTGGCTGCTCAGCCACACGGCAGAGGGCTGGGTCCCCGGGAGCTGCTGGCCCTGGGCCCAACCCTCGGTCAGCGGGAATGGGACCGATGTGGGGAGAGCACCCCAAGGCTGGGAGACTGCAGTATGGAAAGCAAGCCAGGGAGCAGGAAGGGCTTTCTGGAAGAGGGGTACTGATGCTGCTTAGCGGAATGAGTAGGAGCTTCCTGGGAGAGAGAGTTGGGAAGAAGGACTTTCACAGCAAGCATTCAGACCCCTAGACCATCTCTGCAGCTCCAGACATCATCACATTATCCCCAGGCCCTACCTCCTCCATTCTTACACCTTCCTCCCCTTTCTAGACTAGAGTTCTCCCCAGGGCCAGGACACAGGCAAGTCACTAGCCTGCAGGTTTTCAAAGGACAAAGCATCGAATACCACACACACCCTAGACCAGAAGGCCAGCTTCCCATCACACACAACCCCGCCCGGTGATGCTGTGCCCTCGTTGGCACAGGCTGCACAGCTGCCAGACAAGGACCCTCTCTGCTGACTCTGAGGTCCCCCGGGACTGTCTCTGGGTGGGGGTGGAAAACTGGGGTGATGGGTCCCCGGGAGATGCCGGCCTCCTACCCACAGTCCTCCACAGGTTCCTGCGCCCTGGGAGGAAACTAACTCATCAGGAACCCAGTGGTGGTGTCTCCTGACTCCTCTGCTCCTATCAGGGTCCCCTCAAGGAGCACACCTGGCACTTGCGCTCCTGGGTGGCCACAGGCAAGTCCCCCTCGCCCTCTGAGCTTCATTATTCTGATGACCAGGAAGCTTTGGCCAGGCGAGATGCCAGCCACAGCCTCCTTGGGGCTCTGCGTATCGGCCTGGGGTGTGAGGTCCACCTGGCTCCGTCCCAGCCTCGGTTTCCTGGAGAGTAACCTGATCCCAATGGCCAAAGTGAGCCCACAGCTGTTCTGCCTCAGACAATGGGCCACCGGGTGAGAAGTGTGCCCATCAATAATGGATGCCCATGCCCACATGCAGGGCCCAACCCTGCCCTCACGGCCAGCGAAGCCCGAGGGGCTTGGGTTTCATGGCCGCTGGGCCATGGGTCAGGGCCTCTAGACAAAGTGCCAAGGCTGAGAGGTGACAGGGCGCTCATCTGCGCCATCTCGCCAGGCTCGTGCCCAGCTGACACAGGATGTCACCCGCAGCCCAGGGCTGGCTGCAAACCCCTGCCCACAGCCCTCCGTGGCTTCCTGCCATCCTGGGAGGCGGCCCGGCTCATCGGTGTGGACAGAAACAACACAGCAGCGTGGCTTTTGCTTTTTGAGACAGGGTCTCATGATGTAGTTCAAGCAGGTCTGGAACTCACTGTGCGGCTGACCTGAAAATCGCAGCTGTCCTCCTGCCTCAGCCTCCCGAGTGGCCGGGGTGACTGGCTAGCTATGGCCTCCGTGTCCCCCTCTGCCTGCGCCCCCATCAGCACCTTCACCCCGTGACACGTGGACACGTCAAGTCGCGCTGCGCACGCGTCCCCAGCCGTGCACAGCCTCCCTTCCCTGACTCACCTCATGATCTCCTTCCTGGTGAAGAAGGTGCAGTCCTGGGGTGGAGGTGCGGCCTTAGCCCTGGCCTGGGCCCCCATCCTACCCACACGGGCGGCCTGACGGGAGCCCACACCCGGGCACGGCCAGGGCCAGGACGCCGTCCCCACGTCGCGCCCACCTGGTACTCCTCGAGCTGTTCGCGCGTGAACACCGTCTGCTTGCTGCCCATGGCGCGGACCTCCGTCTCCGGGGTGCTGGGCCGGGCGGCTGCGCCCCAGCGTGTGGACGGATGTCCCTGCCCTGCCGTTACCCCCTGCCGGGCAGACTCAGGTGACAGCCAAGCCTTTGGGTGGCCACGTGACCGCATCTGGGGGCAAGGAAAGGGGCTGGGACGGGTCACGGAAGGGCCTCCGGGCATGGGCGCGGCGGGCGGGGGGGGGCCCCGTCGGAGGCAGGGCGGCCGCCCCGGCCCTGACCCCAGCCTCGCTGAGCCCTGCTGCTGGGATGCCAGCCCCCCTCCTGCTCCCCGTGGAGTTGCAGGAGGATCTGAGGACATCCTGGACCCCCGGGCGGCAGCGTGACCAGCTCCCGCCACTGTGATGGACGTGGTTACTGCCGTCTGCTCTGTCGGGACTTGAGAAGGTGACCCGAGGCTGCAGTGAGAGGAAGCCTGGGTTGGGAAACACCAGCTGGCACCTTCAGGGCAGGGTCTGCCTTAGCCTCCGCTGTCCTGTGGGCACCCAGCGTCCTCAGAGCGCGGACAGGGCGTTGCCCCTCAGCCCGATCAAAGCCCAGAATGCGCTGAGAGACTCAGCGGGGCCGGGTCTCAGTCCCGCCCCCCTTACTGGGCCTCACCCACCTTGTGGATTTTCTCTCCAGCTGTTCTCTGGGGCTCTGTACCCCAACACCCACCCACCCCGACTCCTGCCCTTTCTTCGTCTTGCAGGCTGTGGCCTGGGCCTTGCCAGCCCTCCCAGCAGGTGGCCCGACTGCAGCCTTACCGGCCAAATCAGCCCCCGTCTGTGCAGCCGGCTTGTCACCGTCACTCTGACAGGGCTCCAAAGACTCCCGAGGGTGACAAGTTAAACACCAGCGATTCCCAGGAGGAGGAGGAGCAGCTGCAACCTCCCGGCATGGTGCCACGTGTCTGTCACCCCAGCACTCAGGAGGCTGAGGCAGGAGGATTGCCATGAGGTCAAGAACAGCCTGGGCTGCATAGTGAGTTCCATGGCCAGCTTGAACTACATAACGAGACTGTCTCAAAAACAAAAACACCGAGGGCCAGGGATTTAGCTCAGCGGTTCCAGAGCCCACCTCGCAAGCACAAGGACCCAAGTTCGATCCCCAGTACAAAAAACAAAGACACCAAAAAACCGAAAAGCTGACGAGACCAAGGGTGGGTGAGGAGATGATGTGAAACAGCTGGAACTGTCAGGCTTCTCAGGGGTGCAGCCATCCTAGGATGGTTTTTTGTTTGTTTGCTTGTTTTGTTTTGTTTCGTGTGAGGTACCAGGGATCGAAACTCAACACCCTGTCCTTGCCAGGCAGGTGCGATGCCACTGAGCTACATCCCGGCCCAAGGGTTGCTGTTTTTGTTGGTTTGTTTTGTTTTTTGAGACAGGGTCTCACTATGTAGTTGAGACTGACCTGGAACTCACTATGTAGCCCAGGCTGGTCTCGAAGTCACAGGGATCCTCCTGCCTCAGCCTCCCGAGTGCTGGGATGACAGGCATGCACCACCACGCCCGGCTCTGAAGGGTTGCTGTTTAAACAACCAAGCTACACTTTCCACTTGATTTGGCAATCACCTTCCTGGGGATTTCCCCAACGGGCAGAACAACCTCCATCCAAGCCCGGAATGGTGGTGCGTGACTGTGATCCCAGCACCTTGGGAGGCTGAGTGGGAGGATAGAAAGTTCAAGACCAGCATGAGCAACTTAGTGAGATCCTGTCTCAGATTTGTATTTGTTTTTTTTGTTGTCGTTGTTATTGTTGCTTTTGAGACAGGGTCTCACTATGTAGTTGAGACTGACCTGGAACTCTCTGTAGCCCAGGCTGCTCTCGAACTCACAGCGATCCTCCTGCCTCAGCTTCCTGAGTGCTGGGATGACAGGCGTGTGCCACCATCCCCAGCTTGTCTCAGATTTTTCAGAAAGGGCTGGAAACAGAGCTCAGTGTGAAGGTCCTGTATTCACTCTCCTGCACCCCACATACCTGTGTTCCACCGAGAGCGAGTCCTAGTGTAAACTATAACCTGAGCTGGATAATTATGTATCGGCACAGACTCATCAATTTCTCATTAATAGGTGGAGACTTCTTGCATGATGGGGTCACTGCAGCTGCGGGAGCAGCGAGTATCTGGGAAACCTGTGTCCCTTCTGCTCAATTTTGCTGTAAATTTAAAACTACTCATTGAAATATCCTGGTAAAACATTTAAAATTGTGGTGGGTCAGTTGATGGTCACCTTGGTGGGGCGCCCAGCTGAGCCGAGTCAGTGTGACGACCCACCTGAGGATGGTTGCCGGGGACATAAAAGGAGAACTAGAAGGAAGGCCGGCGGCGGCTGGTTTTCCTGAGGCGGACTCGGCTGTTCTCGTCCTCAGAGGAGCTCCTGCCCTCGCTGTCCACATCAGGGGAGCCCCGGTCTTCACCTGAGCGTCGCTTTCTGGCTGCAGTGCCGCCCCTCAGCCTGGTGGCCTTCCGGGGGCAGATTCTCCACGCGGACCAGCAGGGGGCGCTGCCCTGGGCTCCAGGCCCGTGAGGTCTCCAGCACACAGATGTCTCTGCACCCTTCTGCATCTGACTAGTAAGTAACAGCTAGTTCAGCTGCGTCACACAAAAACTCGTCCATCCCTACAGACTGGGTAAGGTGTTTGCAGGCCATGGATCTGATAAGGGACTGGTGTGCATAATCCATAATGAACTCTTACAGCTCAACAGTACAAAGACAAATCACCCAAGAAGAAACCTTAGGCTGAGCCACAAAAACGTCTCAGCACATTATATGATCGCATTTATGTGAAATGTCCGGAACCTGCTCCCTACTCTGGCGGGGGTGGGGGGTGACAGACCAGTTCTACATCTGGACTGCAGTGTTGGCTGTGTTTTTCAAAAGTCTGGAGAGGGCCGGGGACTCGGCTCAGTGGTTCCGCCGCCTGCCTCGCAAGTGCAAGAGCCTGAGTTTGATCCCTGGTACCAAAAAAAAAAAAAAAAAAAAAAAAAAAATTTGAAAAAAAAAAAAAAAAAAAAAAAAAAAAAAACAGTGGAGATACTGAATTCAGCAGAGTTTGAGCAAAGAAGGACCCATGGATCGTGCAGCCCTTAGAACCAAGTAAGTGCCCACAGTTCTTCCCTGCAACGCAGGCACAGCGTTGATAGAAAACGGTGCAGCTGACTGGCCACAGCTGGGCCCCTGTCTGCCTGGCACATGGGTGGTCAGCTGGCTGCTGTGATCGGAGGCCAGAACTGCCCATACTGCATCCAATTTCTTTTTCTTTTTGTACCAGGGATTGAACTCAGGTGTTTGCGCTTGTGAGGCAGCTGGCGGCACCACTGAGCTAAATCCCTGGTCCTGGATCCAAATTTTGATCCACCTGCCTCAGCCTCCCAAGCGGTGGGATTACAGGTGTACGCCATCATGCCCAGCTATCTAACAGGATGTTTTGCTTCACAATTAACTTAAATTTTCACTATACCAGCTTATTTTTTTAAATGCCATAGGATTTTTTAAAAATCCTAATGTATGAGGAATGACACATTCTTAGGCTTTTTTAAAAATCTGTGCGTGCCTGGAGTGGTGGTCTATACTTACAAACCCAGCTACACCGGAGGATACCGAGTTCAAAGTCAGCCTGGGCAGCTTAGTGAATCCGTCTCAAAATGGGGGAAAAAAAAACTTTTTAATAAAAATAAACTAGGACTGGGGTGCCACCTAGTGGTGAGTACTTGCCTAGCATGTGGGAGATCCTAAATTCCATCCTCGGCCCTGCAAAAAAGAGGCAAGCAACTGGGCATAGTGGTGCACGCCTGTAATCCCAGAGCTCAAGAGGCTGAGGCAGGAGGATCACTGCAAGTTTGAGGACAGCTACATAGGCTACATAGTGAGTTCAAGGCCTGACCTTGAACAAAAGGCCTGACCAACTCAGTCTAAACACGAAAACTGAAAGCAACACTTCTCACCCCACTTATTTTGCCATACTGGAGTCTGAACCTGGGATCCCCATGTTCTAGACAAGCACTCTACCACTAGGCTACACCAACAGCCCTTTTTGTTTGTTTGTCTTTTGGTTTTGGAGGGGTGTTTGGTTTTTAGTTTTTGTTTTGTTTTTCTGAGACAGGGCCTCACTACGTAGTTGAAACTGACCTGGAACTCACTATATAGCCCAGGCTGGACTCGAAATCACAGCGATCCTCCTGCCTCAGCCTCCCGAGTGCTGGGATAGCCCTTTTTGTTTTGAGACAAGGCCTTGGTAACTTACCCAGGCAGGGCTCAAACTTGTGATCCTCCTGCCTCAACCTCCCAAATAGCTGGGATTACAGGCCTGTTCCCCTGGGCCTGACAATACCCTTTTCTTATGATTAGACTGGACTTAGGATTTCTCAGGGAGAATCTTGAGAGGGGCGGTTGTAACAAACGGCACGGAGGGATGAGACCACCAAGCAGGCCAGTGAAAGCAGGGTACAGACTTCATTCGCGGGGCAGAGGTGGACTGACAGCAAGCAAGAGGCCACCAGCCCCGAATAAAGAAAAGGCAGGAAGCTTTACAGGGCACTGGAAGAGAGGTCTGGCAGGTCTGTCACATACAGGCGTCCGAGCGAATCTTTGTGTTGGGGTCCGCGCATCCACCCAGGCAGATGTGTGATGTGTTCGGGTGACTTGGCATTGAGAAGACGCTGTGTTTTATAGCTGTCACCTCTGTACTGGGACATCGCATGGGTGTTCTCTCTGCTCCGAGATAGCACGGCTTCACATGTGACCTGGGGCCTTCAAGGACAACCTAACAGGGAGAGAAACTTGGGGGGACCTCATTACAGCAGGGAGCGGTGAACAACGTCCGCAGTGTTTGTTTGTATGTGGTTCTGTAAGAAATGGGACAGCTGGGCGTGGTGGCGCATGCCTGTGATCCCAGCACTCGGGAGGCTGAGGCAGGAGGATCGCTGTGAGTTCGAGACCAGCCTGGGCTACATAGTGAGTTCCAGGTCAGTCTCAACTACGTAGTGAGACCCTGTCTCAAAAAAACAAAAAGAAAAAAAGAGGAAGAAATGGGACAGGAGCCCAGGGAGGCAAAGTGGAGGAGGAACTGGGGGAAGGAAGGTAAAGTGACAGAGACACAGTCGTGAGGATCCAGCGGAGAGAGGGGCGGAAAAGGCACAGAGGCTGTGCGGGGTTCAGGTCGGAGTCCAGGGCCATGGGGACTGCGGGGTCTCGACGAAGAGCGAGTAGAAATGTAAG